AACAAAACAAAAAGAAATACAGAACAAACGGGTGAGACATAAACAGCAAGTGCTCTGGTGCTGCATTTCTGACAGGCAAGAAATATACTGCAGACAGAACAGCAGCAGCTGCTGGAGAGAATCTGTTTTCCAACACTCTGCCAAAATAACAGCCCACAGTCCCTTCTCCACACAGCAGCCTCATGGAATAATATAAATCTCATGGTGCAGTGACCAATACATTTGCAAAGAGTTTTTTGTTTGTTTGTTTGTTTTTGTTTGTTTTTTTTTATTAGAAATTTGATGTCCAAAAAGTTGGACAGGAAACAACTTGAAAAAACAGTAAAGACTCACAGAGTCAAACAACTTGACAACTCTGTTAACAATAGCATGGGGTACATTTTGATACAACAATGCTGCAGCATTTTGAAGGAATATAGGAAAGGATTAGGTCATTATTGGAGCTTGCTGTGTCTCAACGTGTACTACTGAGCCACAGATTCAGTGACTTGCACAGAGAGACTTGCTTGGTTAAGGCTTTGACTCTCAGAATGGTCCCCTTGGTTTAGGGCCTTTCATTACTGAGCTCCCGGAGTGGGACATCTCTGGTATCTTCCAGCATGTTTGACCACTCTAAAGCTGATGCTAATAGCAGCTTTCTGAAGGGATGCTCAAATAGAGAGTCATGGCTGGGAACAAACCAACAATTTTTATCTCTCTGTTCTCTGCTTTTTCTACTCTCTGGCAATTAATCCTTTTGTTTAAAGCATGAAATCCATTAGAAAAGAGTAAACTATTTAACTGACAAAGAAGATACACACTTGAAAGCTCATATTGTTAATGCAAAGATTTTAAAATTTTAATATATTAACCACACCTGTTATACATTCATAATAAACCATGCCATGCAATGTCTGCCCAGGAAATAACTGTGCTTTGGGGTGGTGTGGGACACTTACCAAGCAAGCCTGCAGTACATAACAATCCCCCAGCTGTATGCTGTCTGCTAGCAAAACCCACCTTCACTAGAGACTACAACTAAGTGGGTGTCTCAGCAAGGGAGACCGATATTTCTCCTCACTAAGTGAAGCTCCTTCACTAATACCTATGAACATTTTTCTTTAACCTCAGCACTTCTGCTCAGCACTGATGGCAAGCTGCTTGTGTGCATTATGCTCACGTGACTGCTGCTGACATATGAAACAAACCCCTACGTGCAATGGGTAAAAGGGTGAGCAAGCTGAACCTGAAAAGTAGATCAGAACTGCCTGCTGCAGGGTGCACCTTTCTAAGCTGGCCATCAGGACTAGGTCACTGCATTATGAGAAAGGAGCAAAGATGTGAGCTAGGATGGTCTCAGCTTCAGCCTCACCTTCACTGAAGAGAACTGCATTTAATCATTAAGCTCTCTTGAAAAAAACCATGCAGTTTAAAGAGTTGATGCTTGAGAGCTCTTTCCTATCTCTTCTTCCACAGAAAAGAGAACATAATGGATGAACAGATTTCTCATTTAAAAAACAAAGGGGGGAGGGGGAAAGGCACATTAAAAGGAGGCTTCCTTCAGTTATCTCTGTGTAGGAAAGACAGCTACTGATGAGCAGAAGCAGAAGGAGCAGTAGGTGTCTGCTATTTCACCTTCCTGCCTGACCAGCTTGCCATCCCAGGCATGCACCAGCTGAGTTTTTCACCCTTGATCTTGTGTTCTAGGACTGTAAGAAAAGACAAAACAATTTCTGTGTTTCTCAGAGAAAGGGTCAATGAGAGGAATATAACTGTTAGCAAGAGTGAACGAATGATTATAGATGCCTTCAGAGCTCCCAGAGGAGAGGGCACTGGAGGAAACTGAGACTTGAAACCAGTAACAAAAGGGGAAGAGGAAACAAGTATCTGAGTACATGTTCAGTGCAAAATAAAGATGTCAAAAAGAAAACTAATCAAGCACCTATAGATATGAAGGGAGGAAATTTTTATCTTGGTGCTAGAAACGAACAAGATCTGAAATGATTTTTTTTATAAGCATAAATCTTATTCAGTTGGCATTACTGAAATACAGTAGAAAAAAAATCTGGAGATTTCTCATCACAACTTACTAATATCAAGCAGACAAAAAAAAGGATATAGTGTAGTTTCTGTGCTTCAAATGCCATTATCTGCTTCCAAGTCTCTGATAGCTCCAAATTAAAGGGTCTTCCATGCTTACAGATTAATAAACTAGCAGACAAAGCATAAAATAGGGCAGTAGGCAATGTCTGCTACAACAATCACTCCAGAGAATAAGATAACCAGCTCCTTAAAAAGCAATCAATAATCCACTGAGGAAGAAGAAAGCCACATTATTCAGCTAGAAGAATAACTAAACTACTGGTGGTATCAGACTGCCAGCATTAAAATGACCTTGAAATTTCTAATTCAGGTGGCATTTCATAGCACCCAAGAGGAATTTGTATTAAACCTCATCTTGACATGAAGGAATTGATTTCAGCACAAAACGTAATTAACCGTTCAGGAGAAGGTGGATCATAACCTAGTAACAATTTGTTATATGCCATCAGGCCAAACCAGTTTTGAATAAATAAGATCCATAAAGATGAAGCCAAATATGAATCATGTCAGACAGGACAGAAATGTAACAGATCACTAAGATTTGAGAACCATCTAAAACTGCTAAGTTAGCAAAAAGAAATCTTAATGCTACGCTGGGATAAAGTCTAGATAGGAATGGAAGCACAAGGACTGTGAGAAACCCTCAACACAAAAAGCTGGAAAACTAGAAAGAGAATGTGTATACTTATGAGCAGGTAACATATGTTTGGAAGTAAAAGACAATTACAATGGAAGCAAAGAATAGAATGTCTCAGAGACTCACAAGCAGGTTTGGACCTACATGAAGAATAAACAGAAATCTAACAGTGATCTTGTTCTTTTACCAAAGAAGCACAGTGGAACTGTTAATAAGAGGCCAGAAAAGATTACAAGTTTTATTACTATTTCCATTCTACATTTGACAAAAAAAAAAGAAATTTGATGTCCTACAGTCTGATGCAGAAATACTTTCCACCTCAGCAGTAACTAAGGACTATGCTGAATGACAACTCAGGTCAGGCACTTGAAAATTAGCACATTCATACAAACTATACTGAAGAGTTTTAGAGCAGTTTTCTGCTCTAAAGAGAACAGTTAGGGAGAGAGCAGCTCATTGGACCATTAACATTCATCCTCAGCATGTCTTGGAATATGAAGGAAACTCCATAGGACAGGAAGAAAGAAAACATTGTAATAACCTTTGAAAAGCATTAGTGTGATGGCTGGGACATCTGTCTGTCAAATAAAAAATAATACCAGGAAAAAAAAAGTATTCTAATGACTTACATAGGATTTTACTAATAAATACCTAGTATAACACATGCAATACATTATTTACGACTAAGATGCTTTGTCAAATCAGTTCAATACGATTCTTGCAAATTACAGGTTTGACTAATAAAGACTGAAAACCACACATTAGAATGAAATACTTCACAGACTCAATCAAGTTGCTTATCAGGCCATGATCTACATCACTGTTGACAAAAATGCAATGACAGAAGGCTCTTTAATTTATCAAGATACAGTGTCATGAATGCTAGAGTCAGAGGCAAGACCTATTCAGACAGGACAAATTGTTAACTGTGAAGGTAATTTATAAGCAGAACATTCTACCATCAGCTGTCTCAGAGCAAGTGTGTGTGGGTCATCACATATTTGTTTTTTGTCCTCAAAATCTACAGAGCAAAAATATCCTTGTGTGGTACACACTGAAATGCCCAAGATTTAATGTGAAAACCAACCAAAAGAGTACCCCATCTTAGGAAAGTAAACAAGAAGCCTGGAGATAAAAAAAAGGCTACCTCAAATAATATTTTCTTCTCTTGAAGCATTTGAGGAATGCAAACATACTCATTCAGAAGCACATAAGCAAAACTGCTTCAGATGCTGGCAAAAAGGACACAATCATTACCCCTATAATCAGCTGGGGTACAGTGAGGACACTATCTTCAGGGCCAAAGACTGAAGTCTGTTTTTAAAAGGGACTAAAAAAATACTCAGGGGGTTGCAAAGGTATCTGGGTTTTTTTGTTTTTCCTTTGCAAAAGGCAAGTTGCAGCATTGTAGACTGGAATCTGGCTGTCCAGGATTTTCCCAAGTCCACTGGAAAGCAAGGCAAATTGGACTGCTTATATGTGTCCCATTATAAGCTAGTCTTTAGTGATGTACAATGAACTGGGAGGCTGGGATAATGCCAGCCATCAAGAGAACTAAAAAGGAGTGGCAAAGTGTCCCTCTAATGCCAGAGGTAAAGAGATGACACTATCCATTCTGGGGAGAGAGCTGCCAGGAGGCAGATAAGACCTTAGATTAGTAAACATGTGAGTGCTCAAACAAGGTCACTTTGCTCACATGCAAACCCAGAGCTCAATGACTACTGCAGTATGAGACTGAGTTGATCCAGTTACAGAGGAACAAATTGCTAAGTACAAACTTATGGGCAAATAGATTATTTACTACTGGGTACACTCTGCTGAGAATTCAGAGATCAAATCTTTCTCATAGTAACTGAAAATATGGCTTCTTCTAGGGAAGCAGCATATCCCCTTATCCAGCAAGGGAGTACCTGCCTCAAGCTGCCTTGCTTCTAGTGACAGATAGATGTGAGCACATACCCTTTTCCACCATGACACGACACTGATGGGGGATAAGCTGTCACCCTGCCATAAATTATTTGTATGTCCATAGCCCAGTTATAAACCTCTCCTCCAAACTCAGCGTGGCTTCTGATTCACATGTTTTAATTAGAAAAAGTAGCCGTTGTCCCACACCTCTAACTTCTTACCTGCCTGTTGTATGCTCCAGTCAGTAAAACTTCTGGAAGTTAGCTCTTAGTAGCATGGACTTAATTGTCAATGGCACACACATTCTCCAAGACTTGTAGCCTAACAGGGTGCTCAGTTAGAGTGCCATATATCTATATGCACATCTCCTTACCTCGATTGTGCTGCAAGAGGACAATAGTGGGATTTACGATTGTGGTAGAGGGATAGGCAGAGGAAGACTTGTTGATTGAAGTGAAGGAGGTTGGATAGTCCGTACCAGTCTGGGGCACTTCATTTAGCACAGGACCTGGGTCCTGAAAAGGAGAGCAACACATCTTTAGCAACATGCAGAAGGCTGCTACACTGGGAAAATCCGGTGGAAAAAAAAAATTAAGCTGAATGAGAAGCATAATCACAGCAAATTTTAGTAAAAAAGGCATAAGCATGAGTGTTACCCTGCTCCCTGTATGGACCCTGCTCATTGTTAATGCAATTAGTTTGCTAAGGCAGTACTATAATCATTCGGTGTTGGGTTTCAGAACTCCAACCCCAAAAGGAGGCACAAAATTCATCCAGCAGACTCTCTGGAGCAAACAAAGTGCCAGAAATGAGCACATCTGGTTGGGGGGGGAAGACACAGACATCTGTCCCCTGATATGTACACACACAAACATTTCTTTTAGAAGTATTTCTTTCACAGCAAGAAGTCAGACATGCAAAACTCATGCAATTCTGGAGTGAAACGTTATTACTTCAGCTGGTTGGGGTAAGGAAGGTCCAAGGAATAAGCTTAACACCATCACTCAGGAGACTATGACACCTGGTTAAAATAATAAAATTTTTAAAAACTTGAAAACTGATCGAAGGTAAAAATTAGGACCCTAGAAAGGAAGATACTTAACATAGTTTTCCCACTGGAGCACAGATAACAAGCTGTTCTTGCTCTCCTAAAGCATCCAGATCCATTATTTGCTAATTTCAAACCCAGCTCTGGTTGCTTTGTAGAAATACAGGCTCTGTCAGCAGAGAGACTTTGAAAACTAGCTCATCTTTGAAAAATTCCAGTCCAGGGATACCAGGCTTTTGTCAGTAGTAAGAGGAAAAGATAAAGAAGGGACAATGACTAGGACTGTGTGTACCAGTTTAGGCCGAGATTTTTCAAAGCTTCTTGAGGAATTTGGACACACAATTACTGTTAATGGGGAGTGAGCATCCAAACAAAGGGGCTATGGAACAGTGTACCAGATTTCTGCACTCCTGCTACTCCACTGTCAGACTGGAATGCTGCAGGCCACTGATCTGTAAAATGGAGCTGAGCATTCAGGGGGATTTTTGTTGCTATTAAAAAAAACCCTGAATATGCATAGAATATTTCTCCAGTAGAATCCCAACTCCTGGGTTTTCTGGCCAAGTGCAGCTCAGTGCCCTTCACACCCACCAGCATAAGAAAGGACTTACAGGATCAGGCAGGAGGCTGAACAGGGGCCAGAACGAGGCCTGGCACCAGAGCTCAGAGATTAATCATTGTGAGATTTGCCATAATCAGAACACACATCTGCAGTTTCTCCAGCTTAGTGAGGAAATAGGGAAGAACAATCCTGTTCTGCTGGATGGAGGTGATCTTGCTCCAAGCAGCATCTGATCAGACCATAAACATTTCATGAGGACAGAAGAGAATTATGGTCTTTAGAAACAAATGTCCCCAAGAGAAAAACCCAGCCCCAATTTGATGGCTGTGGTAATATTCCAAACAGTGCACTTTGGTAAAAGGAGTGGGAACAAACATAAGAGAATTGGGTTTAAGCTTCACTTTGATAACGAAAATATAAAGAACCCCTCAAAGAAGAGAGAGGTCAGATCAGGAAAGGCTAAGAAGCCCCAGCTAAGTCACTAAAGTGGGTGAACAAAGATCATTTAAATCATTGTGGAAAACAGCTCTGTGAACATGCCTGAAGTGAGCATGTCCAAAAATGTTTCAAAACTCTTCATCTCATGAAAATCAGGAACCATACAGTTTCAACTACTGTATGATTTGGATGCCTGTTGAATTCGTCTGAAGCTTACAGATAGGCTCCATTAAAGAATCAAAACAAAAAACCAGCAATACCCAAATAAACACAAACAATGCCCTGCTCCCCCTCCCCCTCCTTTCATTGCTCTCTGCAGTAAAAATCCTCTGAGTTCAACAGAAGCAGAAATGCCAATGCTGAAGACTTTTGGAAATACCACCCTTGGTTGTTTTTTTCTGCCCCTCCCCGTTTCCTAGATCCCTATAGAGTCAGAGGGCAAAGAAAACATCCTCATGAGAGGAGGGGGTTTCTGCTGAACTTCTTACTTGTCCTTACAAGCAACCACATTAAAAAAAAAAAAAAAGAAAAAAAGAAAAAAAAAAGGCTGTTGTAAAGCTTTCAAGTACAAGAAGGGTCAGGTACTTTTTGCCTCCTCTGCACCTTTAACTAGGAACTACTTTTCCTCCTTGTCCCTGAGGACTTTTTAAAATAGGTGATGAGCTTAAAAAGAAACAAAAACTAATCTAAGAAGGATACATTAAATTCTAAGTTAAAACTGTTGCAGATATAATTCTTCAAAATTTTCAAAAGCAGTTCCAAACTGAGGAGACACTCTCCCCCTAATCTATCCCACAGCACCTACAGGCTTGGAAGATTCTTAGCTCAGTAACTGATATTACTGCTTATAAGTCATTGGATCCTAGCAGCAATCTTACACTGATTTCAGCAGGGATTTCTGCAGAGACCACATGGTCTTGTGGCTCCAAGTGGAACAGAAAGCCAGCCCTGACCTTTAACTGGTTTGCTGTTGCTGCTTTGAATGTTATTCAAACACAATTAAGGATGCTATCAAAAGAGGCTGGAGAGATCAGTTAGTTGCAGCCGGTTTGTTTATACAGAATTCATTCTGAGCAAATCCTGTGAAGAATTTTAAGGTGTGCATTGCCCAGCAGAACGGGCACAAAGGGAAAGTCAATTATTGTTATGAGAAGTCGATAGAAAGTTCAAGGCTGCACAAGGCAGGCAACACTCATGCACTAGCACAGGACATAAACAAGGTTTCAGTTGTCATGCTGCTGCTGGGGAGTGAGTCATCACTCCTCTCTCAAGTTTAGTATTGCAAGGAGAAAGTAATTTTAATCTGGGAATACAAATTTAGGAAAAGGGCGAGGAGAGTACTTGGCAAGCTTACTGTACGTGAGATGACTCCAGTGATTTCAGGCTTCAAACCCCTGTGCAAAGCCCCTGTGACTGGAGGGACAAGTGAAGGTGGTGATGAGAAGAATGGCAGTTTCGGGTAAACAGAGGGTAATGTGCCAGATGCGGAGGGTGCTTGATTATGGTGGGAACCCCTCTGGAGATGTGGGGGAATGAAATCATCTAGAGTTGGAAAAGTCAAGGGTGAGCCAGGAGAAACAGTCTCGGGGAATACGGAGCCTTGCCCAAAAGGAACCAGAGGCGGCGGTGGAGTGCTGGAGCTGCCTTCTTGCTGTCTGTCTGGTTTAACCTGGAGAAGGGGGACTACTATAACCCCAGGCTGAGCTGTGGTGGTGGTAGTGGCATCCTGTAGGAAACAAGGTGTTGTTATGCAAGGGGGAAGATTCGTACTTTAGCCTAACGCAGCCATATAGTGTCATGCAAGGATGCACTCAAAAGGATACAAAGCCCCAACAGATTTTCTTCCCTTAAGGGAGACATGTTCAGCGTTGCAGCCCTGGCCTCTATGAACACACAAAATATTCCTTCCCCTCTTCACCTGTCTTCTCCAGTTCTGTGCAGTGAGACTAAATCAAACCACAGAACATCTCTGCATCCACCATCATCTGAGAAGTACTAATCATCACACTACAGAGTTTGCTTCTTTTACACCTCCCTAAAATAGAAAGACCCTCACCAGCTCACCCCAGCCCCCTACAAACATCACACACACACAAACACACAGGTCAATGTTGGGGAGGGGTGCAGACGGGGTGTTAAGTATTATCAAGTAGAAGATCACAAGGCTCAGATGGCACGACGAGGGCTCAGAAATTAGGTAGGAGGGGAATAAAGCATTAAGGGAACATTGTAATGAATTAAAGAACCATTCACAGGGCTGAAAGAAAACAAGGTTATGGAGAAAACAAGTACCATGCTGCGTCCCATTGCCTTGTATGGTGGTTGTCGCTGCTGAGTAAGGTAAGGCTCTTTTCTCATCCTGTCCTCTGTGGCAGCTGTGCTCTGAGGCTCTAGCACTCTGTCCCTCACAGCTTGCGGAGGTGACGACTGAGTCGAGGAGGGCTGGCCCGCACCATAACTAACTGCGTCTTTACTGAGGACAATGTAAAAGTAGGGCCTGGGAGGAATAGGAGGAGGAGGAGGAGCAGGAAGAGACTTTCCAGTATCTGTTACAGAAGAAACAATGTCGGTGGCCGGTGCCTGGGTGAGCTCAGCACCCAAACTGGTGCTGGCTGCTGGGTCATGTGTGGTGCCAGTGGAATTTTCAGCCGCGGCTGAGCGAGTGCTGTTAGATAAACAAGCTACATATAGTTTGGTGACCTTTTTATCCGCCTTCGTCTCATGACTGGAATTCATTCCAGCCTTACTACTGGGATCTGCCCTGTCAGAGTTGCGTTGTACGGATGACGCATCCGATGAGGAGTGACCTTCCAAGGGTGGCTGCCCAGCATGCACCTCATCTTTGGGGCCTGGAGAGGGAGAATGCCCTGCTGGCAAGCCTTGCTTCCCACTGGGGACAGCCCCGTAGGGGGTAGGTGATGAGAAATAACACCGTGCACTGGCATTTGGTGATGCACGCTGTGTATAAGGCTTGGGTGCATTCAGGTACACACAGTCCATGATGGGCACTGGCAGCAGGTTGGTCACTTTAGTGTCACTGCGAGGACGCCATGCAAAGCTTTCCTCTTTGGGAAGAGGAGGACGGGGAGGAGCAAGGGCCTGCCCAGGCAGAGTCAAGAAGGAAGAGGAGAGAGGGAGCAGCACCAAATGAAAGGAGAAAGGAAGGAAAAAAATAAATGAATTTGAAGAATGAATTTGGTCATTGGGTTAAGCAGGTTAACAGCAAGAACAAAAAGCAAATACAGTACCCAGAAGACCAATGCAGAACTCACATACATCATCTCACACGCTCTCTTTCTTAGCACTGCTCACTGCACCACACAAATTCTATCCAGCATTCAAGTCCCTGCCTACACATTTCTCTCTCCTGGCTAAATAAATCTCAGTGGTGTATTGTTTTGAGAGGCCTGCACAGCAACACCCACCATGCCCCTGGGAAAGCCTGAGTCAAGATTTAACATCCTGGCTAACTAAACCCAGGCTCATGCCTGTATAACTAAATACTTCCCAACACAGGACATTTGAATCACAAAGCCAAATTCAGAGCTCTAGGCCATCTCTGCATGCTAAGTGCACTGCCGAAAAATGAATGTTGCAAAGTTTCACCAGTGCTAATGAAAGCAGACATCATGTGAATCCTACAGCCTGCCACAGCTGGCTACATAAAAAGTCAGCATTTCTTCCTTCTAAAAGCTAGCTCTTGAATTCTTTTCAGGACATTTCAGTCTTGAAAATGCTTTCAGAAAGACCAGAATAATTAAAGTTTCCTGAGGAACTGAGTTAATGAGAATCTGCCTCCAGAATGAAGATCACCCAGCAGAGAAATCCCGTTTCTGGTAAATAATATTAAAAAACTTTCCTGATTTTGGTACTTTGCAACATACAGGTTGCTAACCTCACAGCTGCCTGCCAACTGCACCTCCAACTCCAATTACAATGATTTTTTTCTGAAAGCCAAACTGTTTCGAAGTAAAGTAACTTTGCAGTAGAGAGGTTTTATTTATTGCTTTATTGTCAGTAGCTGAAAACTATAAACTACTGAAAGGAAGAGAATTAAAACACCCACTTAGTGAACAGTAGCTCCCTCCATTCTTGCAAATTAACCCTCCAGAAGCTATGAAAGTAGGTTTTACACACACCTTGTTGTCTTATCTTATGGGCAAAGCCTGACTGAACCACTGCTAAAATGGCCAAAACCAGAGAATGAAGATCCCTTAACAGCCTGCAACATTCAAATCTGAAAAAAACATCCCTTTTAAAATTCCTCCACCTATGACAGGTTGTCGCCAGCGCCTGTTCTTGTTACATGGATACAGATGTAGAATAACTTCATAAAATTAAGAGCTGCTGTCTTGAAATCTCATGAATCTCCTGAATCCTCATGCTGCCCATTTTTTCTCCACTTCCCTGATGTGTAAGGGAGTGGAGAAGTGGCTTGGCAAATGCTCCTTCTGAAGGGTTTCTGCTTCTGGAACAGGCTCATTCCTTTTGATTTCTTAAGGACAGCAGTTTCATTCTGTTGACTTCAGAGTGCCACAGCATTTCCCTAGATTAAGTGATGCTTTAGTTTGCTACTACATAGTATTATCATAAAATATTAATTCACCACCTGCAATTGCTCTTTTCCATTTCCTTCTATTTCAGCTTAGTTTGGACAGCAGTTCTCAGGATTTCCATAAGAAGTACTATGTGCATCAGCACTCCCTGTTTATCAAGCAGATCAATAAGGGATCTTATGGACAGCTGTTAACTATCAGGCAGTAAATGAGTCTCTCCTTTAGGGTGCTGCTCCTTCCTATGCCTTCATCTGAACTGTGCCTTCTTCCACCTTCCCTTACAATTTCAGGAACGGTGTCTGTTCTTTGGCATTGCTATAGATCCCTGCTAATTGGAGCAGTCACTCCAGTAGGGGACAAGGCTTTAAAGGGACTCTGTTTCACACAAGAAAGCAGTTTCTAAAGAATGGTTTCCCTATCAGCTTCCAGACTGCTTCTGTGCAGAACAATCACCCAAAAGAAAAAGGAAGAAGTTACACTACTCTTAATAGATTGACTTCAACAGTTTACCTTCAGACACAACCAACCTTTCCCTTCTTGGCTTTTAGCAGTTGCAGGGTTAAAACTGAAAGGTATTTCCCCAATATCTTGTTCTTAACCTAGGGTGTAACTGCTTTCAGTCTGCAGCAACCTCTAGGAAATAGACCAACATAAAAGACAGAACAGTAACAGATGACTACTTCACCTTTTTCTTGCAAACAAACAGCGTTATCCTCTGTCATCTACCAAGGAAACACTATGGCATGCCTGAACACAGGAGCTCCACAGCACTCTGCTGTCATCAACGTTGTCCCCATTTTAAAGGTAGGAAGAGCTGAGGCACAGCAACTTACCCAAGTCTGCAGCAAAGTTTGGAGTTCAACCCACGACTCGTGACCACGAATCCAATGCTTGAACCCAGAAGACCACCCTCAGGGTCACAGAAGAAAGGCTTACCTGTGGCTTGCTGTCTGAGGAAAGGTTTGGGCGCACACTCCTATAACCCTTGGCAGCCAGAGAAGATGGTTGGGCATCCCCATTGGCATCAGTGTTAGATGATGACCTCCAATCATCTACAAGGAGAAAGCAAACTCCGATCACAGAGGATTCCCTCCAGCTACAGGATGAGTGAAAGGAGGGGACTCTTTTCCTCTTTGCTTTCCCCCTTTCTTTTTTTTTTTAATTTCCCAAGCAATAAGGAATACTTCCAAGAAAGCAACAGAAGCAACAATGTAAGCAGCCAAAGTTTGTACCTGGTTCCGGGTTTTCTGGCTCCAGACCTAAGTGTTTCACAGAAAGGAAGAATGGAAGACGTGAGGGTGGAGGATAGGCATAGAGGAAAAGAAAGGGGGGGGGGGGGAGAAAGAAACCGTTACATTTACAGAAAACATGTACCAACTGAAGTTAAGAGTTGACTACTTCATTTCACACATAAAATGCTTTCTGATCGGGCTGCCTAATTACCATAGAGACCAGCCCTAAACACGATGCCCTCCTTGTTTCTGACCTTTGTAAACACAAGGCAATTCATTCAGAGCAATGAAGAAACAATTGTTCATTGACATTCTTATTTCAGAGGCAAAAAGGCAGCCCAGCTACTTTCTAAAGCTGCAGTTTGACGTCCAGACACTGCAAATTACTGGAAATGTAGGGAACCAGTATTCAGCCATGATACAGTCTATGAAGACGTATCTATCCTCATCAACATCACTACGTCTGAGTGAGGGACTGCCAACAAATAGATCAGGTTTTGCAGACTAAGGGCATGTGCATGAAGTGAGCTATAAAATATGATGTCACTTTAAAAACCAGTCCCTGCAGCTAGATGTGTTGGTCTCATCACCTATTTACCCACCTCCCACTGGGCTCCTCCCCACCCTTCTACCCATTTTGCTGTTTAAGTTATAGGCAAAAAGCTCTTCCAGCTCCAAAGTGCATTCCATAAAGAGATTGAGAGAGTAAGCAAAGGAAGTATTAATGAGCTGATTTCCATAGTAATGGGCTCATTGCCATTCAAGCTGCTGGAAATTTATGAAGCCATCAACAGAAAGGAGAGAGGCGATGGTGGGGGGTAGGAGTGAACAAACAGAGAATGGCAAGCATGAAAAAGGGGTAGGTCATGGGTAAAGCAGAATGGGAGGAGAAGACAGAGCAGAAAGCAGCACATAAGGGCTGGAATTAATGGAATTGCCCTTCCTCCAACAACAGAGTCAGAAAGATGTATGCTGTGCTTTTGAGAGCAAATTTGACCCCACCCCCCTTAAAGGCATCTTGCCTTTGGGAGTTCAATCTCTCTGCCAGACCCATGACACTGGCCAGGTTTGCTATGCTTTGCCTGTCTCCTACAATTAAGTAATTACACATCTGCTATTGAAAGATGGCAGAGCTTTGTGGCAACACTGTCTGGGACACTATCCCTGCTCCCTTGACAACCCCAGCGAATGCTACGGTGGCAGTAGCACCACTTGGCCTCTTTCTGTTCCACCTCGTGCATGGGATGAAAGGAGGTGACATGGGCCTGCTGGGAGGGGAATAAAATTTGAGAGGTTTTGGTGCTCCTGACAGGAAAAGGGAGCCATAAACAAACTGAAGCCAATAAGTAAGTGGCCATGAAACTTGCACTAGGAGAGAACAAGAGTCAGTTTCCCTCCACTGTTAGAAGCCAAGAGGTTTCTAACTCTGCTACGGGATTTTGGGCTTTAAATTGTACCTAAAAAAAGGTCACCCCGAGACCCTGGACCGACCTCTCTTGAGGTTACTGTGCATAATGTGTTCCAGTTAACCTTCTACCCACTTACTTTCAGGTCGCTCAACGTCCTGGGGACATGGGGAAGTGACATTCTGATTCTCTTCATAGGCTGGAGATGCCCGGAGGGTCACGGCTCCTTTCCCGCTGCAGACTTTAGTGGGATCCGTTTCTACAGGAAATGCACATGCACAGAGAAGACTCGTTGAAACAGATGATATCAGGAGCCATCAAGAGATCTATGGAGTAACTTTAGCATGGCTGCCTCTAGGTGAATCAATCTAAGAATGTTTATGCAGATGAAGATTAGCTTTGGACTGAAAGCACTGAGAAATCAAAGCAGTTTCATGTCCATGTAACGGATGAATAGAGAAGTAAGCTCTGAGTCAGTGTAACAGATCTAAGAGGAAAAAAAGGATGAGTGTTTGAAGCACATTTCACAGGTCCATTTGCCTTATTTGATCTGCTTTGTGCGGGGATACTGCACTATCAAGGACATTCTACCATTACACCTGTAACTCTTTTGTAGGGATGTCTCAGTGGTATAAAGCAATACAATTTGTGTACTGAAGCTTTAAAAATGCTGTCTGTGCAGGACTGACAGATTAGAAAAGAAGTCTTATGACCACTGGCGGATAAAATCTTGTAACCATGCTGAGTATGATATAAAGGCAGGGCACTGCAAACCATCTCCTTGCCATCTTCCCCCATTTCATGGCAGTGTTTCATCTACTGACATAGCAAGTCATATTCCAAAAGCCAGAAGGAGATTTAACATATACATGTTCAGAACACCCTGCAAGCCAGACACCAGATCATGCCAGCATCCTTGCTGAGCCTCAATTCCACACAGCTTCTGTGCAGGCTTACCTTTGTACATTTCAGTCCATGGGTTTTGTCCTCCTGTCATTCTATTAAGTAATAACAAACCAGTACTTCAAGGCTATCTTCCTCCCCTTAATTAAAAACCTTCCAGAGTTGTTTCCTCCAAGATACCTATAGATACAATAAGCCTAAAGAGACTCTCATTATCTAAGCTACTTCCACAGGAAAACACATTGCCTTCCTTTCTCAAGCAGTTACTGACCCTGCAGCTGCCATTGGGCTTCACTTTGACCTACCTAAACAGAGGTGCCAGTTATGCCATGACACCCAACAGGAAGCCTGAGGAGGTACTGAGCATGTGCTGTGTTACACAAATGACAACATCATGATTTTTTTATTTTATGGGGTGAAGATCATGATATTTCTGTACAAGGAGGGAAACAGCTCTGCTCTAGGAACTGTTATTAGAATGAAAGTTGTGCCTTCAGACTGGACAGAGAAGGCAAAGGCTGATGCTTCTAGCCCAAACAACAGCCCTTGTTTGTGCAGATCAATATTCCCTTGCTGATCTCAGTAGGATAATAACACCCCATTAAGTCCAAACCAGCACAGTGCCTATAGACCATGACAATACATCAGTATAAGGTTGCAAAACACACAAACCACAGCCAAGATGAGTACAATATAATGAAACAGCAGTAGTGCCAGATGGACCACAGCAGCAGGGGAAAGACTCAACAGAGGTCAAACACCACACCGAAAGCCCTCCATGGTGGAATCACCACAGTTCAAGCTTCAGGGATTTCACAAAAAAACATAGCTTGAGATCCACGCTTAGGACTGGAGAAAGGATGGAATAAGTAAGGAATTGGGGGATACTTTTATACAGTTCAGCCTTTAGTTAATGTAGGCAGCCTCTGTGAGGGGAAAGACCATCCACACAGATACACCAAATGCTACTTAATCCTTAAATATATTGCATTTTCACACACCCCCCCCATAACTGACCATGCTTAAGGTCACCCACATGCCTGGTGAAATAGAAGCTGACTTCTCTGACTGATTGTTGCATGATGCAGGTAGGGTCAGCATTCCTTTTGCCTAGAAGTACAGCTCTGGCTATCAATCCCATCCACACAGTACAACATGTACCCAAGGACTCTGTGGACCCACTTTCAAACCAGAGGGCAAGGTTTTAAGCTCTGGGACTTTCAAGAGTGCTGTAACTCTGAGGCATGGATGCTAGGTCTGATTTAGATATCCACAAAGGGTGCAGTTTAGCTTTTCTTCTACACTCCTACTCCTAGATTCCTTTCACAGGCAGGCACTGGAGAAAAATGGAAACACTTAAGAGTCTAACATGCCATAAAAGTTTCCATCATTATTGGAGGAGAATCAAATTTGGGGATCAAAGCGCTTTTTTTTAAATTTTCCTACAACACATTAAACCTGTATACCAAAACAAAAGAGCTAAAAAGTAATAAAAAGCTTTTAAAAGTTTTGAAAATAAAAATTGTCAGACTTTTTCAGTTTGGAAGAGGAAGACAAATACGTGAGATGTTGAATTCCCTCACATCCAACAGATGGGACTAAACATGACATTAGCACTGTACTAGTCCAAATGAGCGAGTGTGTGTGTGTGACAGATTAGGAGAGACAAGCACTACCAGCTAGACTAGTCTGGCTGTCCAAACCCAGCAAAGTGTAAAAATAACCTTGTACTCTTGGGAAAGCATGTGTTTGAGGAGGGGGTGACATACAGTCTAACATCCTTATTTATCCACATAAAGATGCTATAAAGTCAGTGTATGTACAGAACAACAAAACTAGCCCACCAATGTTGAACTACTTGAAACTGTAAAATACCATACCTGACATCCATTTACTTTCATAAAGACTAAAGATACGCAGGAAACATTCTTTGGTTCATCAGGAGTTTGCTTCAAAATGAGGTTGTAACAATATTTTTCATAATCGAGCATTAGTAGAAGAGCTTACAATGATCCCAGATTCAAGTAGAACAATTATGTCTGCAGAGGAGCAGCATAATCAAGAACAGTGTATCTCACCATTAAGAGCTAACTTTATTACCCACTGATGAAATCTGCAGCTCTGGAAACTGTGAGAGGGTGAGGCTGAAAACTGGCCAAAGCATGTGGGTGAAACAGGGAGAGAGAGAGGGAGAGAGAGAGCAAGCGAGCGAGCAGAGAATGATGGCCAACTAATGCATGGTGGAGGGAGGAAGGAAGAAGATACCTGTAGGCAGCACTAGGTGAGGAGAACTTTTCACTTTCTTCACAGGGATTATTTTAACGGCAGAAATAGAGCGTGTACATAAAGGGACGCCAACAGCTGCAAACACAAAAGTGTAAATGGCACATCCAAAAAGGGAAGAACAGAGTTTGGGAAGCATGCCACAAAATTTCCTAATGTACTTGGAGACACAATAGCAGGAAATTTCAAATACAAAAGCAGCCCAGAGAGCAGTGATGCAACCGTTAAAAATATCCCTTCATTTGCCCTAATTCAGGATGTCTCTGGTTTATGCAGCATAGGGAACTGCTTAGTGAATTGACTAACTGCTGCCTGCCACTAGGCTGCAGGGAAAAAGAATCTGGAAGCATTAGTTTTTAGAAGCCATCAAAAAATTTTAGTGTAATCATTTAGATGAGATACACTACATGCAAAAATAAAAATGTTAATTTAACATTAATATGACTCAGTTAAAAATAAATGTAGTGAAAAAAAACATGGATTGAAATGTTGAGAGAGGAACATTAAACTAGCCACATGAATTCTGGATTTTATGGCACATATTTTACAAATTCAGCAACAGAAGGAAGTGAAACATGAAATAATCTTGAAAATAGTGCCATGCCAAAGGGTACTGTCAAAATATCCACTTCAGAAAAAAAAATAATCCATCCATTTAAACAGTAAATTGAAGAGATTGCTACTGGACTCCATCACCTAGCACACTAATTATACCAGATGTAGTAACACAGAGGAAAACCATACATCTCACTGTGCAGAATTCTAACAGCTGTTACAAAACTGCCCAAACTAGCTGATACTTTCTCTCTCTTACTGTATTGAAGCTAAAGTGGAAACCTTTAAAAACAACAAAAACAAAACAAAAAAAGAGATGGGGGGGTTTCATGGTAGTAAAAAAAAGGCAAAGGCAAAACTACTCAGAGGTGAAGCTCAACAGGATCTGCCAAAATATCTATCTTGTAAATCATGGCTCTGTTAGATTAACTTGAACTGTGCTCTTGACTTCTGCAGAACCAGTATTTTCTCATTTGAAACCTATTAGCTTTCAGCACGTATTAACTGGAAAATGCTAGGTGCTTCCTCCCATTCCATGCCATCTGTCAGGCCTGCAAAAACAGGAGTGGATCCCCATTTCTAGCACTCTCCACCCCAGCAGAGAGCAGTGGGCCAGCCCGCAGCAGGCACCGACACCAGGATGGTGTGTACACCCCCTCTTGTGGCGGATCTTCCTGGTCCCTGGCAAAACGAAAGCACAGACTTCACCACCCTAAAAAGGGG